CGTGTCCAACTAAAACGTTCCCTTCTATGACATGACGTGTACGGCACGCAAATGGCTGATCACCTCTCGTACAGACCTCCTTCGTGAAGCCTTCTACGCACAGTTGACGTTGACACCGGTGGCTACAGCAAAGGAGTCGGAGTTGCAGTTCTATTCCTTCGTACGCATAACAAAATATCGGTCATCGGTGCTCGTCGTAGCGGTTGGCCGTCCTTGGTTGAACCTCCTTGGATGCAGAATCTGTGGTTAGAAATTATTGCCAAAGTCCATAGAACCACAGAAGGATTCACATTTAACCATCTGGACAATTCTGTCTGATTTTGCACAACGAAATTTGCAGGATTGCTTTCAAACATGCAATTTTATGCACCTCGTAGATGACGTATTCCAATTGCAGCGTTACTAATTTGTATGCGCAGTTTAACTAAGCAACTCTTATTTGACAACATATTCAAATTGTACACTGTTTGACTTATTTTTGAACGAGTTATCGCTATTTTTGTGATTTTTTCTTAATTTTTGGAAACCAGTGTATCACAGACGTTTGCATACCTTATCAGAAATCCCGCTGAATGCCAAATAAACAAGTTTCATGCCACTACGGAGCTACAAAAACTTGCATAGTCTTCTACTGAGACACAATACTCTTCCTACAGGCTTTCAGGAAAATCCAATGAAATCCACGTAGAATCCATTGAACTCAAGCTATTAGTGCCCAGTATCCAATTTGCCGAGCCCAGGCGAGTCACGTACCTCTGTGTCGTACATTTTTCAGGGTTACTTTGCTTGGCTGCGTCAGTTTTAAAGACTACATAACGAATGGAGCTCTTTACAGGCTTCATGTCGATGTTGACTAAGACCCCAATATCGAATTTCGTTGTCACTTGAGGTAAAATTCTACCCTTATCGGGTGAAATGGATCTTGTTAGTTTGTGCTGGTCATGTTCAGACTTCTCCTCACGTCTTTCCTGTTCTTGCAAGTTAAGTCTTGCCGTAATACTTGCAATTCCAGTACTCTCTTGAAAGAGTCTTATGTGAAAATCCATATTTATTTCTACCTCCAAAATGTCGCGATTCATTTCAAGATATCCAACTATTGAACGGCATTAAAAGTAGCTTAAATTGATTAAATTTGCCAATCTCAGCCAGCGCAGACAGTAGATGATTCCATAGAATTGCATCACTTTAGATACGCACTGGAGGTTGTAACCAGTGTAATATAACTATGCATTTTGCTTAGGTTCATATGTACCTTTATTGGGAAGGGTCATTTCAGTAGATATAAGGATACGTGATTTACCATGGAGGATATGCGATTCATCTAAATATCAATAAAAAGGTTATAAGGTATTTCTCCCATCTTCTTGGCATGCCTTCGTGGATTCTGCACACTGAGTCGGTATTCCAGACGTCCGTGGTTCGATTCCCGGCGAAGGCGGTTGCTAATTTTTCATCTTGCTTGCTTCCAAAAAAAATCCTAATGTCTCTACAAGGTAAAGTCACAAGTTTTATGTAATAACCACTTCAAGGAGAAGTTCTTGCGAATCATTTGCATAGCGTACTTAGTAGCTGGTCCGATCTGATGAAGATCCAAGACTAGAATGAAACTGCAAGATTTCGGTGGTTTTTCATCCATTCGCAGCTGCGCAAAGAGTTTTCTATTTGACAGGAGAACTGCGTGCCTTTTTGCATTACTTAAACTGATTTAAAAAAAAAAATTGAGTTTGCTTTTTGTTAAATGATAGTAAGGTTTCTACAGTGGCAGGAGATAAATTTATTCGAAGATTAGTGCATTTTGTTACTTTTAACACAACAAAATATTACAAAATTGTTTTTATCTTTAGCGACAAAATGCAAGTATTTTACAGTGTTATATACTGTGCTTCTTAATTCTTGCTGAGATATTTTTAAAGGGATTTAATTCAGAAGCAGAATTTTTAAATTTTTTCATTACCTCTAATCACATCTGAAATTGATTTTAAATGATACATAATACGATGTGCATGTTTGTGTACAAAATCATCGCCGATTAAAGATCATGAAACAGTTTAAGAATACAACATACCAAGTTTTATTCTGTAATAATATATTTTTAAATATCAACGATGGCAAATCACAAATATATATATACAAATATGAACTGAACTGAAATTTTCATTTATTTCCATAATCTTAATTGAATAATTCCTTTAAAAACACTAATACAGTTGATGAGCTAATATGAAAGATACAAGAAAATTTGGTCTCAGTAAACGAACAAATGGTCTCAGTGATGGTGATGTCCTACACCGTGTATCAAAACACTACAGAATAACAGTAACATGAAGCCAAATCCTAGGAAGAGTACTTTCAATAACCGTGGTCCAGTTTCATTAAATTCGGCAGGAATTACTTCCAGGAAAGTTACATGAATGAATGTTCCAGCTGCTAAACCTTGAAGAGTTGCACTGACTGCCAGAGCAGTAGTTGATTGGTAATGCCCGATTAGTAATCCCAGCAACTACAAAGAAAAAAAGAAATCCGTTATTCTTTTATCTATAATAAAAGATTATTTTTATATTTTCAAAACTGTCGCATAAGATAAAAATGCTGCATTTAAACTTCTAAACAGGCAAAATGGGACAGAAATTATGTTTACCAGATGCCCCGCTTTGACCGGGATTATCCCGGTTTGATGATGTGGTCCCTGCATCTCGGCCAATTGGTCATTTTGTCCTGGTTATTTGATAGGATTTTTAAAGAGCCGGAGATGCACAATCATATCAATACACTCATAAAAGAGGTTACAACCTTTTATAACAAGTCTTTCTCACATTGAGCTATGGGAAAACAGTTTTGGTGAAGAATCTTTTGTTTTGATAAACAACCTTGAATTAACATAGCCTGAAATAGAAGTTTCAGGTAAAATAATAAATGGAACTGTCGCAAATAATACAATAACCTTGAATCGCGTTTTCGGGATGAAATACTGATTGTAGAAGCGTTTTAGTTAGCTAATTATGAAATATAGAAAAATGAAAGTTGGGAAGGAAAATGGATACAATTTTTCAGCCATTTCGAAAAAAGGAGAATTTCATCGCGCAAGCTTGTTCAAATAATAGAATACCTTTTCAGCATGTCTGAAACATCGGCACTAGTTGAAAGCGTATTCTCAATTATGAATACCATATGTTCTAAAGAAAAAGGAAAAATGGCTGAATCAACCGTAAAAGCTTTACTAAGCTTAAAATTTATCAGTGAACTAAATTGCAGTAAATATTTCAATGCCATTAAAAATTTTAAAAAAAAAAGATTCGCACCAGTGATAAATACTAATATTTTTCTTAATAATGACGTATGCCCAGTTGAATTATTAAAAATTTCTTTTAAATCATTTTTTTTTTTTTTTTTTGTAACAACTTATTTATTTAGCCGTTTCAACCCTAGGTTTTCTCAAAATTGTCCCAGTTTGAGCAAAAAGTATTATGGTAAGCCTAAATCATATACTTATCTTTGCTCAAAGGAAAGCAATTTTATTATAACGGATAACAATTTGTTTAATTTGCTTCTCTCACTGAAAGGAACTTCCTGAACGACTGCTGATTATAGAGTAGCGAGCGTTCTGTTACAATAACTAGTGCAGAAAGTATCAAAATCCTGAGATTGTATTACAGTCCAGTGCAGAGTTAAGAGAATTTACAAATTATGCCTATTTTTACGAAACCTATTGAACCAAAGGCACTAATTATGCGGCGGAAGAATTATGCAAACACTCAAAGTCGAATGCGTAAGCGTGTGTGTCTGCGGAGCTGTGATTATGGAGGAGATACTATATGCGCACGAGGGGTTTTCAGCTATTTGTATGCTTATACTCATTCACGACATTCGCCATACTTTTTGCAAGAGTTGGATAAATGTTATAAGGTATCAGGTAAAATGAGGTAGCCACGAATGTACAGATGACGGAATGATACGGAGAACTGCCAGAAGATTGAAGGCAGCCAATCACAAGCGTAGGTGGCTACACAGCTCAGTGTAACTTCCACTGTCGTCTTCAATTTGTGAAAACAATTTTATAACAGTGGATCCATACCAAGAAGACCTGGACAAGGACGGCTAGGATCCAAAATGACGTATAAGGATCATTATTTAGCACTTTCAGCGCGGCACACAAGACTGCTACAGCTTCAATGCTCCTTGAAATGTATACTGCCACTGGAACCCAAGTTTCACGGTCTACAGTTGTCCGACGACTTCTTAAGCTAGGGCTGTATTCTAGAAGGCTCGCTGTTTGAGTCTCGCTCGCTGTAGCATACAAGAGAGCGCATTTAGCATGGTGCAGACAACTCGCGCCTTTGCCTAGACTTCAATGGAGTACCTTGCTTTTCACAGATGATTTAACATTCAGCCAGAATTCTTGGTATACATATACCTGGATAAAGCCTAGAACACGATACCATCCCTCACTCGTCAGGAAAAAGGATCATTACGATGGTGGAGGTTTGGGCAGACATTATGTTGGACAGCCGCACACCCCTGTTTGTCAAGGGCTTTCTGACTGCTATGAGATATAGAGGAGATCTTAAAGCTGTATGTTTGACTTTTCAGCGACGCAGTTGGTTCCGAGTTCCTGTTAATGGACGACAAAGCCTGTCCACATAGAAGGGCAGTTGGTCAACGATTACTTATCGGAAGCGAGAATGTTCGCCGTATAAATCTCCTGGCTCTTACAGAGCATGTCTAGGACACTCTTAACGGGAACTTCATCTCACCATCCACCTCCGAGAATCATGCTGGAATTGAAACTGTCTTGCTGCAGGGGTGGGATTGACTGCCACAGGGACTCCTCAGCTGCTTCCTGTTTAGCATGCCGTCACACTGCGGGATCTCTCTGGCTGCGAAAGGGGGCCATATCCCATATTACTCATTTTCTGTTCGATATCACAACGTGGATTTTGGGCATCCCTGACCTATGAGCTTTACCGAAAATCATAAAATGACTTCTGAATGGAATATCTCTTTCTCTGTTTTAAATGTATAGTCATGCAAAATTTCAATAAAATCTAACTATCCATTAGTTTTTCAGCAATCCAACACAATGTGCGAATTCCCTTAATTTTCCACGCAAATGCAGATTTTCATTATAAGGACAATTCCTGATACAGTCCTTTTTCTTAGGATACATTGGGTTGTATGACGAGCGCCGGTTGCATTAAATTTCAGACTAAAATTTGGTCCTGTGAGTAGGCAATGCACTGAAAGGTGAAAATTTCAACAAAATACAAAGACCCCAAAAATCTCAAACGAAAAGAGAGAAATAAAATTTATTATAATTACTGTATTTTTAATTTATTAACTTTAAAATTCCTAATAATTTCTCTCATTTCTTTTGTTTTCCAGTATCATATAATTATAAAAATCATTTCCCTCCTTCTCAGCTATTTTTATGAGCTTCTCTTGTCCTCATTTTTCTTAGCCCAAAGGGGAAATTTGCTCAGAAGGGCTATTAATTTCGTTTTGGCATTTTGCATTGCTATAAATGTCAAATCACTTTTTAAAATGTTGCTACCAAATATTAGAGCTCTGTATTATATTTAAAGAAATTAGATAATGAAGAATCTACATAAATGTATGCATGTTTCTCGCACTGTGATAAAACAACGATACAAAAAGCCATCAAATTTTGAATAACGTACATCTCCACCCGAATATGAGCATCCGGAAGTCCGAATTTGGAATTTGTTTTATTATCTATTTCATATTTTGTAAAGGATTTAGCAGTTTGTTATTAAGAAACTCAATGATTTCAAAGCGAGCAATAGTAACACTGTACGGAAAACAAACACATTTTTATCTCCAGCACGCAAGACTCTATATCAGAAATTCAAAAGATATTTTAAACATTTTGCAATACTGCTGTTGAATTGAATTTTATGGTTTAAATCTGAAGAACATGATATTTAAAAAGTAAAGGTAACACACAAAACGTGAAAAACGCCCCTTTGGGCGTAATATAAAATCTCAGAGCTTTTAGATTTTTTGTATTGGCTCAAGGGCGTTAGCCAGGAAGGTCTCTTGATTTCGTTTTGGCATTTTGCAGGGGAAAACTTTAAATGTCCGTTTCATTTTCAAATTGTTGCCTCCAAATATTATCGCCCTGTGTTAAAGAATTTTCATAAATGTGTGTATGTTTCTCACGTTGTGATAAAAAAACGGTACCTAAAACCATCAAGTTTTGAATAACGTAATTCTGCACCGAATATGGGCATCTGGAAGCCCTCATTTGGAATTTGGAATTTATTACATGATATTTAATAAATAAAGGTAACACACAAAACGTTGCAGAAACGCCCCTTTGGGCGTAATATAAAATCTGAAGGCTTTCAGATTTTTATTTGATTTTTTTTTTTTTTTTTTTTTTTTTTGAAATTTATCTACTTTTTTTAAGTCATGCATTACACAAAGATGTCTTAGACCACTTTTCCGGGATTTGGAACACTGCTCTAGAGTAGTTTATTTCTGGAACATATATACTAGAAATAAACGAAATGAACTTATAAGGTATTTCTCCCGCCTTCTTAGCATGTCTTCGTAGTGTAGTGGTCAGCACGTTCGACGCGTATTCGAGAGGTCCGTAGTTCGAGTTCCGGCGAGAGTTTGCTCATTTTTCATCTCTCCTGCTTCGGAATAACCTAATGTCTCTACAAACTGAGCAAAACTTTTAACAATAACCGTTTTGTTTTAATTTGTTCTATAAAAAAACTATCGAAATGTGGAAGTAAATGTGAGTTACTTTATGATAGAAAGATACATTTTTGCTAGAGCCTGCAAATAATTCCTAGATTTGCTGCACTTAAACTTCTGCTAGACTCCTAAAACTTTATGAGAAACGTATGAGAAAATCATATTTTTCGAAACGAAATATCTCAGATTTTTATGAAATATAAATTTTAAGATAAAATATTTGTAATAAAGGAAAATTACAGTCATAATCACTTTAAAAATTGCACAATTTTCACCTGGGGTTAGAATCTAAGTTCTTTTGCATAAAAATCGCAGTGTGTAATATTATAATTATTACAACATAAGATTCATTCGATAGGTAGGCAGTTTATTACAGCAAAGTTTTCGACGACCACTAGTCTTGAAATATACACTTTCATATGGAACATTTTAAAGGAAATTGTATGTAAACTAGTAACACAAGAAGAACATGTCAATCAAACTCTGCAAGCCTCAAAGTAAGCTACCACTCTTTAGTGGCGTTACCCACTGGCTTCAATAGACGTACCCTGTTCATACGTGTTTCCATAAAAATTCAAGAAGTACACATACTGAACTACATTTAATAAAGGTTACTAATAAGATAAATTTTTAATGAAAGAAAAGTTTTCGACAGTTACAGCTAAAAAAAAGTACTTTAATGCAAATAAGTTTGAAAATTATTACATATTTAAGCATTTTTATGAATAGAGTCTTCTAATAAGTAAGGTAATTTAATCATACAGATAAAGTTAGTTA